TTCATTCAATATTTTTTAAGGTCCCTTCAAAAAATATTTCATCGATCGTTCGTTTTCTTAACGGTCGATTTAAATAGTGGTGATCAAACTCCTAAAATTCTCATAACAATCTCATCTCAATTGGATTTTTTGTATCCCAAAATTCTTCTTTCCCACAAAAAAAAAAACATTTACAATTTTTTCTCTTTCAGAGCCAAAAGTTAGTTTTTAGCGCATTTCTCATTTATGGAAAAAATGCACTATTGTGCTCGCCATGTCCGTCTGTCTGTCCGTCCGTCCGTCCGTGACATCAAGTTTTCGTCGACGAGAAAATGCGCTCTCTGTTACTCACTGCAGTGAGTACCGAGTTATATTTTTTAAAAATTATTTTGACCTTATCCCAGCTGCGTGCATTCCCTCATCAGATTCAAGAGCGAGTTTCTCTAGAAAAGCTGCGCTTTTGTCACGCATGAGCGCAAAAATATCCTAAGTTGCGAACACAAAATTTAAATTTTAGGAGTTCAAAATTTTGTTGTTGCGGCACCAGGAGAATTTCTTTGCCGGGAAAAGCTAGCGCAGGAACGAAGGTTTTATCTGATGGAATATCATCAAGAAAGCAATGCTAGAATCTGATAAAAAATCGTCAAGATAGCAAAAATACGATAAGATAAAACGGCCCTTCTGTCTGATCCACCAGCTGAGATGGGCATAAATTTAACATGAACATGATGCCTGCATGTCCTTTGCACTTCATTATAAAGTTAACATGAACATTATGCCTGCATGTCCTCTGCACATGAACATTACAATTGAATTATCACAAGAATTCCTTCTTGTTTGATTAAGAGTTAGGTAATTAATGAAATAATGAATACTTAGTTGATGAGTTGTGTCAAGCAAACAACGACCTCCCCCCATCCATTCATTACCCCATACATGCATTACCCACTCCATGCAATACCCCCATCCATTTATTACCCCATCCATTCATTACCCATACATTCAAGGCCCCATCCATTCATTAACCCCCATACATTCATTACCCTCCTGATTAACCTTATATTACTCTAATTTATTCATTACTCCCATCCATTTATTACCCCCATCCATTTATTGCCTACATATATTCATTACCCCATCCATTCAACACACCCGTTCATTCATTATTCCCATCTATTCATTACCCCATCCATTTATCAATTTCATATATTCATCACCCTCATCCATTCATTACACCCATCCATTCATTACACCCATACATTCATTACCCCATTCGTTCGTCATTCATTCAGCCACTCAGAATTAAATGGCTTCATGCAGTCAGTCAAAGCCGTCATGCTGAGAAGGTTTTGCGAATATTGAGCTTATATCATAAAATTGTATAAATACATTCTTCATAATGTTTTAATACTGAAACTGAATTAGGAATTTGAAATAGAAAATATTGAGGAACTTAATCTAGAAATTGATTTAAGATTGTAGATTTCGATTTTTTAGGGTCTTCGATCTCGAAATCAAACAATGAGTTTGAATTTTTAATTTTTTTTCAGGTGTTTGAATCCTGAAACAAAATTATGAGTTTTAACAATGATTTTAATTATGATTAATTTAATTAAGAACTTGCAGAATCACTGCACTTAATGCATGCTGAATGACTGCATTGGATGCATGCTTAATGACTGAATGAAATGCATGCTGCATGATAGCGTAAAATGCATGCTGAGTGACTGCATGAAATGCTTGTTGAATGACTGAATGAAATGCATGCTGCATGATAGCGTAAAATGCATGCTGAGTGACTGCATTCATAAAATACTTGTTGAATGCCTGAATGAAATGCATGCTGCATGATAGCGTAAAATGCATGCTGCATGATAGCGTAAAATGCATGCTGAGTGACTTCATAAAATGCATGCTGAGTGACTGCATGAAATGCATGCTGAGTGACTGCATGAAATGCATGCTGCATGATGGCGTGGCATGCGTGTTTAGTGTCATCGATGAAGCAAAGTTCGCTGATGTGTATTCGTTTAAACGTTCAACTTATTCGCCGCATTGACTTCAACTCACTTGCTTACCTGGAATAACTTCTGGGACCTTAACTGCAGTGCCACTAACTTTCAAACACTGCATCACTGCAGTGCAGCTGTAGTAATGCAGTCACTGCAGTGACTAATTCACAGTCACTGCATTCAGTGCAGTAACTGGCGCTACAATGGAAAATTTGATGCGGTCACTGCCGATGCAATGAAAAATTCGAGGCGGTCACTGCACTACCAATGCAGTGAAAAGTTGGATGCAGTCACTGTATTTCTATATATCGTGAAAAGTATTCACGGTTGCTGGTGTCATAGTTGTTTATTTATTATAGTCCAGAGAGTCGCTTTTCGGGAGAATGTGGAGAACCTGTGAGCATTTGAAGTACTTGTGACAGTTATGTTACTGTACCGTGACTCTTCCGTGACTGTACCGTGACTGTACCATGACTGTACCGTGAATGTACCGTGAATGTACAGTGACTGTACCGTGACTGTACCGTGACCGTACCGTGACTGTACCGTGACTGTACCGTGACTGTACCGTGACTGTACCGAGACTGTACCGTGACTGTATCGAGACTGTACCGTGACTGTACCGTGACTGTATCGAGACTGTACCGTGACTGTACCGTGACTGTACCGTGACTGTACCGTGACTGTACCGAGACTGTACCGTGACTGTATCGAGACTGTACCGAGACTGTACCGTGACTGTATCGAGACTGTACCGTGACTGTACCGTGACTGTATCGAGACTGTACCGTGACTGTACCGTGACTGTACCGTGACTGTACCGTGACTGTACCGTGCCTCTTCTTGACTGTACCGTGACTGTATCGTGACTGTTCCATGACTGCACCGTGACTGTACCATGACTGTACCGTGACTGTACCGTGACTCTACCTTGTCCCGTGAAAATACCTCTGCACTGCACACCTTCGCTGACTGCACGCACTGTACACTGTACAGTCACATGCATATTACAGTAACCGCTTATCACGTCGCGCAGCAGTTCGTTTGATTGGATGGCAATCGCTAGATAAAGTTTGCACTGAAATCTTTTCCATCAACTGATTGTTATCAAAAAATTAATCGACGATTTTCATGAATGCATGACATGCAAAATCATGTTCGAAACGACTTTCGTCGTAAAAGTAAAAATGATGTGGGCATTGATTAAATTAAATAAAAACTAAATTGTAAATTAGTGACTTTAAATTTTTAAAAATAAAATATAATGACTTAATTGATCTCCCACTTTGAGCCTGATCAATCTAACCGTTTCAGTTTAATGATTAAATTAAAATGGATAAAATTTAACCAATAAAATTATTGAATAAAATGACTAAATTGCTCATATATATTAATATATCATATATATTTAATTTATGCACCGGAATTTATCAGAGGTTGGAACAAGAGCGTATCTCATATTTTAAATAAATTATAAAAGTTTTAGTGAAAGTTTTTAAGCTTAGATTAGACTCTAACGATGGCGCTGCGTGTCGGCTGGACGAGTCGAAACCAAATTCGAATTAATTGACGAGTTTTGGGCGATATTTTCTTCTCTTATACTCAATACTTTCATTAATTGACGAGCTTTTGGCGCTGTATCCTTCTTATATATCCAATACTTGAATTAATTGAAGAGTTTTGGGCGATGTATTCTTCTTTTATGTTCAATACATGAAATTATTGACGATTTAATACTCACACAATTTGTTCAGCATATCATAATATCGTTGAAATATACATCCGAAAAATGGACTTCAACCAAGCCAGAATATTGAACTTTATTGTTATGAAATGATCGCCTCTCTGCAATACACTTGATCGTATAATACACTTGATCGTATAATACGCTTGATCGTATAGTACGCTTGATCGTATAGTACGCTTGATCGTATAGTACGCTTGATCGTATAGTACGCTTGATCGTATAGTACGCTTGATCGTATAATACACTTGATCGTATAGTACACTTGATCGTATGGTACACTTGATCGTATAGTACACTTGATCGTATAGTACACTTGATCGTATAGTACACTTGATCGTATAGTACACTTGATCGTATGGTACACTTGATCGTATGGTACACTTGATCGTATCACATGGTGTGTACTACAAGTGGCAGTATAGTCGCTGAAGTAGTAATATTAGGGAAAATATAAGAAAAATAAATTACTATATACGTTCAATTAGTAAGTCTGCAATATAAAGATAATTATCTTGAAATTTAGCGTATACCCGTACGATTAATATTTTAACAAAATTTAATTCATCGAAACATTTATATATTTGAAATAGATTTTCTCCATTCCTGTGCTCAAATTTTACTGTGTTTAATAACAATTATTTAATGTAAATTATTGTTTTTCAACAGATTGACGATGACGGGCAATGACCACTCAACGCGACGAAGATGGGTCACACAGACACACTTAACTCCACGGGAGCACAGCGCCTCGTCTTGAAAAATAATAATTGATTTAGTCTTAATAATAACTTCTCAATTAATTCAATTAATTTCAATTAATTAATTAATCTCAATTAATTTAGTCTTAATTAATAACTTCTCAATCTGCTCTCTCAATATCAAGGAATTCTAATCGTGTGCTAAATTTTTGATTTTGTATGAGTTTGATATACAGAAGAAAGAAATAGTTTTATCTACTATTGAACATTCATGAAATAATATTTTCTATGGAATGAATATTGAATTATTTCATTCCAGTTGTTATATATTCTCAAACACTGGGGATTTAAATCATATTCTTCATTTAGTTCCTCTCTTATTATCTCAATACATATTTTCCCCCGTCAAGCTTATCACGAGTACAATTTATTGAAAATTTAGACGTTACAAATTTAAAACCGAAATGTGTAATTTCATGTCATTTTCATCCATGAACGCTAATATTCAGAAAGCAAAGATCTGCATGGGAAATATATATCAAAATTCCTACGAATCCATTCGTTATGAGCTCCGTTGACCCCACATCGTACTATGACGACCAGACCACGAACGCCACATTTGACGTCACGCCTTTCAAAAGTCTACGCGAGATCAACAGCACCGCGATTAAATTCCTGAGACATCAAAGCCACCTGCCGAGGCTGTTGCCCAGGTACCCATCTCTAGAAGACGGCTTTGGGTTTGAGCCGTTCAGAGCTAGCAGCTCTGCTCAGACTATGATCGGTGACGCCATGATCCTGCAGAACCTATCCTGTACACCCACCACTTCCTTTCCTTCTGATAACATATCAGTTCTAAGCGACTGTTCCCTTGGCAATGGTACCTTTCCACCATTGGAAAACGATACCAACACCATCTTGCCACCTCTGGAACTCTGGCAGACGGTTGCGGTGGCCATCTTCTGCAGCCTGAGCATCGTCCTGACCGTCTGTGGAAATATCCTGGTCATCTTGAGCTTCATCGTCGAGAGGGCAATCCGGCAGCCATCTAATTATTTTATTGCCTCTCTAGCGGTCACTGATCTGCTCATAGGATCTGTGTCGATGCCCTTCTACACAGTGTATGTCCTCATGCAGAAGTGGACCTTGGGACCGGTGCTGTGTGATTTGTGGTTGTCGGTTGACTACACAGTGTGTCTCGTGTCTCAATATACAGTGTTACTGATCACCATCGACAGATTCTGTTCCGTCAAAATAGCCGCTAGATATCGGAATTGGAGAACAAGAAGAAAAGTTCTGGTGATGGTGGCAGTGACGTGGATTATACCAGCAATGTTATTCTTTACCAGCATATTTGGATGGGAGCATTTCGTTGGTTATAGAGCCTTAAAAGAACATGAGTGCGCGGTGCAGTTTCTCAGAGATCCTGTATTCAACACAGCCTTGATTGTCACATATTATTGGGTGACACTTGTAGTCCTCATTATCCTATATGCGGGGATCTACAAAACTGCTTACGACATGCATAAGAAATCGGAAGCGAAACACCGGAAAATGCAGACCCTCGTGGCCCTCAGTGCGGGAGGGATGGCAGGAATGGCCGGTAGGACTGCGGGGTTCGGCATGGCGAAACCTCCAGGACCCTCAGATGACAATCCTCTGATGATAGCAGTGATGGCACATCAGGTCAACAGGAAAACAGAAGATGGAGAGAAACAACAGAAAGAATCGTCGTCTTGTCAAGGATCAACAGGACTCAGTTCATCGTCAGAAAATAAGACAGGAGATGAAATCTTTTCGATGTGCCTGAAAAAAGATGCTGAGCGATCGGATCGGTCGAGTAGTCCAACATTTGAATCAGACGAAGACAGCAGCAGTCAGCTTGCGGCTCCTCCACCTAAAGCCAACAACACCAAAGACTCCAAAGATGCACAGGCCCCCGCAAGGAGAACGAATATCATAGCGGATGCCTTGCCCAAAATCCCAGAGCAAACAATTCTAGACACGACCACTAAAACAAATGCAAATGCCCCGCCTCCGGTTCCTCCGAGAAATTTTTCGGGTAAGAAAAGTGCTGGAAAAATAGCTACTACCCCCACATCGAGTGAACCTATTTCACCCGTGGGAGACATACCAATGCAGAAACTCGGCGATCATGAAGCAAGTCGTATAATACGGACAGATGACGTAGCTGGAAAATCTCCGGCATGCATTCCCAAAAGTTTGCCTTTAAGTGACGTAGTAGCCATAGTTCCAATAGCCTCTTCAACACCCACGGACCTGTCTTGTCCTGTAGTGTCCTCGTGGTCCGAATCTTCGTCTGCCGGAAAAGTCGAAGGTCCAAAAAATTCCGCTAGTGCCCCGGTATCACTGACGTCTTCCTGCCTAAATCTCGCCCATCCTGTAGCATACGATGTTTTGACTGGGCTCGATTCAGGTACATTCAATTCCGTGGATCGGTCTTCAGTTTTGTCCTCGGTCTCTGGAGGGCCATCGGTCCAGTTGACGGCTGCTCAAGTGGCGCCAAAGAGCCCGAGTGTTTCTGAAATTTCTGTTGAGTCCAAAAAGTCCTTAGCTCCTTGTAAAGATAATGATAATACAGCTACTAATGCGGTAGAAAAGTCTAATAGCTTTGATTCTCTGTGTCGTAATGTAAGTGGAATTTCCAATGGAAATAATAAACCAGTGGAAATTCATAGAAATAATAGATGTGATAGTTTAGACCACAAGCAAACTAGCAAATCCAGTTCTGAATTATGTCCAAACCCTAATCCTCATAGTAACTCGTTACCTGTCACCCCTACACCAGTTACCAGCACACCAATCCTCAGTAGCGCAAGATGCTTCCTTAAAAGAACAAACAAGATTCATTTCAATTCTGAGGATGAGGATCTAGATCTAAGTTTGGACGATGGTGACGAAACTGATGAACTGGGAGGCAGAGAATCGTCGGAACATTCAACTGACGTGGTGGTCACGTCAATCATACACACCTGCACTGCCGTCACTAAGATAGGTGACGGGGAATCTCCTAATTCACAAATAAAATTACCACCTCTAGTGCATCCCCAAACTGGACGTCGAAAATCAGGTTCCATACATACAGGACGTCTGTCAGTAGACAGCGGCAGATGCAACGCTAACTCCAACGTCAGCGCCGCTGGTCAACAATTGAAGGCAGACCATAACTCTTCATCTAAACTTAATTCGGAAAATTTAGAAAGCATTGACACAAAAGGTTCAGGTTCCCGTATATCATCCGCCTTAAACCAGCTGATCACAACTCACAACGTCCACTCTAACAAGACCAAAACAAGCGTCGCCAGAGCAGAATCTTCCTCGGTTGGGGAAAACGACAGAAGCTCCGTGGTGGTCGCGCCAGGAACTTCAGACACTCAGTGTTCTTTGAGAAGTTCCCTTAAGAACTCGAAGAAAAGTATCGCCAAGTCCATCAGGAGTTTGAAGAAAAAGAAGAAGAAGAAGGACGCGGCAGCTCATGTACGGCATCGCTCCAAGTCAGAGAACCGTGCAAACAAAGCTCTTCGCACAATCTCTGTTATTTTAGGTTGTTTTGTTGCATGTTGGACGCCATATCACATCATCGCCATAGCTGAGAGCTGGTGCACATGTACAAACATTCACTTGTTTTTGTTTTCGTATTTCCTGTGTTATGCCAATAGTCCCTTGAATCCTTTTTGTTATGCCTTGGCTAACCACCAGTTCAAGAAAACCTTTATAAGAATACTCAACGGGGACTTGCATTACACGTGAATTATGTCACGTGCTTTTAATTTAATTATTTTTAAGACCAGCAATATCTAATAAAAAATTGTAAACCTTCGCCCGCTTAACTCTCAGTAAAAATTAATTTATTATCAATTGACTGGGCATGAATTTATGTTTAATGTAGGTAAAAAGATACAACCATGATTTGCCTGTTATGTTTTAAATGGAAATTTTTTTATCAGTTTTTGGTGTTGATTCATGAGAAGGTATTTGGACGGAGGGATATTTATACAGGGGATATTTGGACGGAGGATATTTGGATGCAATATAAGATTTTGGATGCAATTTATATCCGATATCCTTATTAGAGATCGATAAAATGTATATTTTATTTCTCTATGCAATATTTTTGAATTCATTATAACTTTGACAGTTAATTGGGAAGTTAATCCCAACGTAGTGCTTAGCATCAGTTATTTTGTGCAAATTGGAAAAGAAGAGTGTTATAATATTTATACCTTACCGCTTAAAATAAGCAACATTGTTAAAGTGAAGTTACACCTCCCTCGATAACCTATACATAAGAATATAGCTTAAGAATCATGCTACTTCCAAATAAATGTGCTTTTCTAGCATAGGACACCCTGTGCTTGCTAGCGAGTAAGCCTTGTATAGAAAAGATTATAATGAGCTTTATTATACATAGTTTAAACTGTGCTTGCTATTAAAGGTAGAGACTTCATACGCATTGATGACTAACCGTACGCTTTGTCTATATTTTCATCATATACATTATATGTATGTTTTATTCTGTGATGTAGATAACCCAGCGTGTAATGTAAGTGTCTTAGTAATAAGAGCGAGAAAATTTCGTTTATTTTGTATTGATGGAAACTTATGATTTTAAATAACATTTGGAGAGATAACTGAAATAATTGTTGTAACCATTGTTTAATGGTTGGATTTTTGAGCCTAATGGCTTACAATGGTTTGAGCCTAATAGTTTATAATGGATTGGTCCTAATGGTTTTTCAATGGATTGAATGAATTCCGCTTCCCGTGCTGAAATTTATGGAGATTTTTTCCAACGTGTATCGATCATCCCATTGAATATTTCCCATTTTACGTATTTAAGATAAAAAACATGATATTATATCCAAATGGATGCTCAGAATTTGGTAAAAGCAGAACATATATGAAATGAAATTTAAGTTAGCACTCGACGCGGATTATTTCCCCTCGAAATTCCATTTATGAAAAATTAAATGAAATTTGAATGACATATTTACTTCGTACCAGGTAGGGTTCAAAATTTATATTCATTTCTTCTCGAACGTTCTACCTTCTACCATCACTCAAGAAAGGAAAATCATTGAATCAATGAATAGAATAACTTGTTTATTGTAGTATTAATAATATAATAGTGTTTATTATATATACAAATATCATCAAGACTGGGCACGAAGAAGAGCTCAGCTGCGTCTGTTTCGACTGCTCCCCTCATCTCCCGCCACCGGCAATTAAAATTCATTTTTTTAAATACATGAACTAACAAATCCTCCAAATAGATTAATTAACCAACGGTGCTATTACTAATAATCCTCTGCTTGTGAAGCCTTTAATTACGTTATACTATGAGGAAATAGGCGAGCTTTGTTTTCAGTGGTTGAAATCGTGTTAAATTAATTGTTGCCGAAGACGAATTCATGCTAAATTTGAAACTTTCTCCGCTAGTAATAGTAAATCTTTTAACTAATTACTAAATAAATTCGTTGTTCTAAATTCTTGAAATTCTAGGACAGGAAAAATTTAGTAAAATCTAACAAACCAATTAAAAAATTTTATCTTAGTTTCGCGTTAGTGCAGACGACCTGGTGGTGCGAATAACTAATTATTACTTGAGTTTGTCTTGATATATAATACGCGTTGCGGGTGTCTAGTGCCAGTGCCACGGCCGCAGCCGAGGGGGGCGGTCATGTGAGCCCGGCAGTGCAGGACTGCAGCTCGTCTCCGTTCCTTGTCTTATGGGCATATTTTTTACGGATCTGTCCTTTAAAGATTATCTCATGAGGATGTTTTTTTGTATACTGATGTTTGAAGACATTTGTTTGAGTGTATAGTGGATGATGTACAAACTTCCAAGACTGAGACATTTGAAGCGAATAAACTCTGTCAAGATTGTGGCGAAGTCATTTAGAAGTGTCAACTATGTTGACGATAGATTATGTCGGATAATTAGACATATTAGAAAATCAGCCATGTCAGACTGTTAACTATGTTAGACGACCAGCCATGTTAATCGGTCAGCCATGTTAGATAGTCAGCCATGATGTCTAACGCCCCCGAGGGCAGTCCCTCGTATTGGAGGGGGATACCCCCAGCTACCCTAGATAATGATAATCCTAGAGTCTACCCTAGCCCTAGAGGTCCTTCTCCACTAGGCAAATGACGTTGAAGCCGCGATTAATTAACGTTTGTTCATTGAAACACTATTTTATCAACGTTGATTAATTGAAACGACGTCTTATCAACGTTGTTTCATTGAAACAATGTTTTATATACTTTGATTAATTGAAACAATGTTTTATCAACGTTGATTCATCGAAAAACTGTTTTTTCAACGTCGATTCAATGCTACATGTCGGGTGGGTCACATATTGTCTACAGATAAATTTACAACGTTGATCTGATATCGTTGAATTGACGTTGAATTTAGTTTATTACAATCTCAGCTGCCAGCTAGGCAGGATACCTAGAATCTAGTTGCGCGCTTGGAAGAAAGACTTCATACAATAGCGGCATGTGCGTCACTAGTGACATTGCTATTGGTAACAATAATCTATCATTGTACAGTATTGCTGTTGTTAACAATAACCAATCATTGTACAATATTTCCTTTTCAACAATGACATATCATTGTACAATATTGCCTTTGTTGACAATAAGTCATTAACCTATCACTGTACAATATTACCTATGTTAACAATGACATATCATTGTACATTATTACCTTTTTAACAATGACAAGTCATTGTACAATATTGCTATCGTTAAAAATGACCTATCATTGTACAATATTGCTATTGTTAGCAATAAACTTTCGTTGTACAATATTGCTATTGTTAAAAATAAGCTATCATTGTACAATATTGCTATTGTTAACAATAACCGACATTTGAATTTGTTTAACCTTCAACCTCATCCTTAGCACTGAACAATGAATTATAGAGATTATTTTTATTCCCATCCGTGTTGCTATAATTATTAACCACTAATTTGCATAAACTATAAACAAAACGAAATTTGAAAAGTTGCCCCGTCAATAGGCTGTAGTTTTAAGTTTTTTTTTACAACCGAATTATTTGTGTGAGTTGTATGTTGAATTTACCAAGAATTAGGGAACTTAGAGTTAGATGTATTAATTGAGACAAAACTTATTTAAAATTAAATAATATCAATTCCACGAAAGTTCTATATTTCAATTTTTTCATTATTTATGATAAATATTCTGGATAAATGATTGATTTTGAGTAAAAATATCATTCTCATTATGATATTTTATTAAGTGGTATTCGCATAGAATTTTAAACTTTATTCTACTTCTTCAATTCGTGTCGGATTTTTAAACTAAATGAACATATTTTAAATTTCCGTGTTACTTCTTTAAGTAATTTACTTGCTTCCGAATTGCGTAGAATTTTTAAAACAGTTTCGCTGTGGCATTTAATAATATTTTGTATGTTATCGTGTGCAATTTAAATTATTTAGTAATTATCGTAAGTAAATTCTTTAATCAGATATTGGGGTACATTTCTTCTAACAAGAACGAGGTATTAACGAGATTTTGGTCGCACCAGGAAGCCCTCTAGAATTTCTTACTTACTTATTAGTTTCTTGGTGAAGTTCTTTATACGGATGACATCCAACCAAGGACGATATCCGGGGCATGCACGATATCCGGGGAATGGACGACAATATCTGGGGCAAGTGCGATATCTGGGGAATGGACAATAATATCCGGGGCAAGGAAGATATCCGAAGCAAGTGCGATATCCGGGGCATGCATATCCTTGAAATGGACGATAATATCCGGGGCATGGAGGATATCCGAAGCATGGATGACATCCGGGGCATGGACGATATCTGGAGCATGGACGATATCCGGGGAATGGACGATATCTGGAGCATGGACGATATCCGGGGAATGGACGATATCCGGGGAAGTGAGGACAATATCCGGGGCATGGACGATATCCGGGGCATGGACGATATCCGGGGAATGGACGATATCTGGAGCATGGACGATATCCAGGGCATGGACGATAACCGCGGGAAACTTGAGTGTATTATCGCGTGTCCTATAAAGTGTGTATAATTGATCAGGGCTCTTTAGTTTAAGTTAATCTATAATCAAATACTATATAAATATGATGCCAAGTCTATAGCCTATTCATCTGTTTGTTTATGTCTGTGTTACATAAATGACTCTGTATAGTGTACACAAGTCATACGGTGATATCAAGTCGTACGGTGACCTCAAGCCACACGATGACCTCAAGTCATACGGTGAGCTCAAGTCATACGATGACCTCAAGTCAACGGGGACCTCAAGTCATACGGTGACATCAAGTCATACGATGACCTAAGTCATATGGTGACCTCAAGTCACACGATGACCTCAAGTCATACGGTGACCTAAGTCATACGATGACTTCAAGTCATACGGTGACCTCAAGTCATACGGTGACCTAAGTCATACGATGACTTCTCTCAAGTCATACGATGACCTAGAGTCATATGGTGACCTCAAGTCATACGGTGACCTTGAGTTATACGGTGACCTCAAGTCATCATGCTAAGTGCAGTTGTCCAATTAATCCTGAGTGTACAGGAGCTTTGTGGCTGGCTTTTAATTAAGCCCTGCCGAATAATTGCAATCGAGGCTAATTGATTGATTTGATTATAACTGAAAACTATTAATTACCAGTCGAAATTAGTGGACTTTCAAGGTGATTGGAAACAAAAAATATATTAAACCCTGTTTCAGACCC